AAAAAAGTAAAGTCTGAAATGTCATACCATGATATACCAATGAATTAACTTTTTTTTAATTGAGCAGAATTTTTTTAAACGCTGACGCACAATGACGAATATTAAAGCAGGTCGCTTAATGCATGTAGCGAAAGTAGAAATCAGACTAATTCTGTAGAGGAATGAATAAGAAAGTGTAGTCTTTAATCACACCTGCTGCTAAACAGATGGCAATGAACAACTCAAACCTGATCATGTCTGAATGCAGATTAATCCATGCAAACGTTCAGACATGTTGTAAAACACGATAATAGAACAATTGATGAAATCACATTATTCATGAATTGTTTGCTGAATACAAAAAAAATCAGTCAATTCACATGCATTTTATTTTTTCTGTTTATTACTGGATTGCATTCATACATAAAATACAAAAACCTTAATGAAAAAAGTATTTACAAATGTACAAAACTTAAGATTATATTACACGAATCTGACTATAAACAAAGAAAAATTGTTCAGAGTTAATTTTTTGTTTCTTATATAAAAATACGAGCGTCTTACATATCAAAATTATTGCACCTCGCAACCACAGTGCAGTTTAGATTGCCGTCACCAAAGAGAGGTCATGCGTTCGCCCCAAGACTCACAGACTTCAATTAAAATCCACTTTTATCTTTGGTACCTTACTGAATACACCTGGCTATACTCCGCACCATCTTGTAACACACATAAATTATTCTGTACCTGAAATTAATGGCTTTAGAGAGAGCAATAAAACAATCCATAAGACGGATCAGTTGATCGAGTGATGGAATGTAGGTCGATTAAAGGCTTCTTTAATACATATATTCTAATGTTTCCATTTATTATCCCTGATATTCATATATTTCCAGTCTTGTGTTTGGCACTTGGCATCTCCAAGTTTTGTCGGTAAGTAGACGCACGTTCCAGTATTGTCCCAGTGTGCAGGAAACGGACAGGGAATCGCCAGCATGTTGGAAGACGACGACAAAAAGGGGGGAAAAAATAAACGAAGCGAACACGAAAAGTCCCAAACCTGATGCTGTGGACGACACAGCTTGTCATGGAGCTCTAGATTTGTTGACTCTTGTTCAAAGGCAACACGTGGTTCACTAGTCCACTGGTATCTTCACTTTTTTTGGCGTCTTCCAGTCTTGGTTATAGATGGCGTTTCATGTGCAGCGCGAGGTGGTCGGATCGGGAAAAGGCTCGGTCGCATTTCTGGCACTGAAACGGCCGATGGCCCGTGTGCTTTCTGTAATGCCTCGTGAGCTCGTCCGAACGGGCGAATTTCCAGCCACATCCCTCCCAGTCACAGTGATACGGCTTTTCTCCTGAACACACAGAGACACGCAACAGTTAGCGTTTCACCCTGAAGTCCTAACGAGAACAATCAAGCACACTTTGGTCACATTAGAGAGAGGGAGACGACAATTCAAATGTTGCTCATCCCTGCGTTGATTGAATAGAAGGGGAAGTCGGACAAGGCTTGTGGTTTTATTTCAACAGGGATCAGTATCAACCTGCTGTTTGAATAGCAGATCAAACCACCTGCCAACTGTACTCTCACTATATATGTCTCTAGTCACTCGCAGACAATGCGCTTGGCAGTGCTGTGTTTGGGCGTGTTAGATTGTTATTAAAGCACATGCACACGACAGAAAAAGGCATGTTACAAACACTGACCTGTGTGAGTCCTGTGGTGGGCTTTGAGATGGGAGCTCTTGGTGTATGTTTTGCCACAGCCTGCGTAGGTGCACGTGTGCGTCGCTGTCCGCTTCCTCGGCCAGGTGCGCCGACCCCGCTTGGGCTTGGACTCTTCAGGCAAACCCTCGGCTGGAGAAATCAGCTCTGCCGAAGAGGAAAGAGCCCAGAGCGTTAGTGTGGAAATTAAAGGGTTAAAAAATTCTGTCATTAATTTCTCACCCTCATGTTGTTCTAAACCCGTAAGACCTCCGTTCGTCTTCGGAACACAAATTAAAGGCACAATATGTAAGATTTTTTTATTAAAATATCCAAAAACCACTAGAACAGTGTTATATATTTTGCTGACTTGTGTACTTACATTATCCCAAATGTTTCGAAGAATGTTTAAATCCAGAGAAATAAGCAATTTTAACTAGTGACACGGAGCGTGTCTATAGTGTCATCGTGTCGCCTGCTAATGACGTCATAACCCCTCGATTTCCGTTTTGTAGAAAACATGGAAACAGCAAAGACGCTTTAATATGTTGTGTGTTTTAATAGACCGGTGACGACCGCACAGAGTAGCATTATAACAGAACTAAATGTATCTAGTATGATAAAACAGCGCTGCTTTACCCCACATACGCACGACCGGAAGCAGCGGAAGCGCTCGACTGTGGCATAATAAAAGCTCCGCTGCTTTCCAGCCGTGTGTCGTGCTCGTTCAGCGCCTCGTTTCGCTTCGACGGCTTTCAGCCTCACCCTGCTTCATTCTACTACGTTAATAAATCATTAGCTCATCCATGAACATGATTTCTGCCCGAGTCCCGTCGGATTGCATCGGCTGTGCGGATGAAGACCACAACTCCCATGATTCCACACTCAGCCACAGCGTCATCTAACTACGCCTTTGTATGAAATACGAAAATTACATATTGTGCCTTTAAGATATTTTTGATGAATTCTGAGAGCTCTCTGACCCTCCCATAGACAGCAATGTAATTACCACGATCAAGGTCCAGAAACGTAGCAAGGAGATCGGTAACATCATGGGTTCTTAATTTGTGTTCCGAAGATTAACAGAGGTTTTACGGGTTTAGAACGACATGAGGGTGAGTAATTAATGACAGAATTTTCATTTTTGGGCGAACTAACCCTTTAATGCTTTACAGTAAGCTACAAACTCTACAAGTCATCTTTAAAGGTAAGGTAAGGTATAACATAAATGAAGAGTTTGTGGACAAGTTTGACTCGTGACTGACCTTGGTACTGCATTGACTGGGCGGGAGGCTGCGGAAAGCCAGAATAACCCGGCGAGGGGTGATATCCCGGGGCCAGGGAGATAGGAGGGGGCCCCAGAACCTGAGCTTGAGGATGCTCGTCCGGAGAGAGAGAGGAAGTGGAAGAGCGACTGGGGCCCATGGCCTCTCGGCCTGTGCTGAAACCACGAGGGTCCATCAGCGGTCTCTGGCTGACTCCGGGTCGTGAGTTCACCCCCAGATGGAGATCCATCGGTCGGGTGATGGTGCAGGTGCTAGGATGCTCCTGCTTTATCCTAGGAAACGGCAGGGAGGAAGAGTCCGACAGTGAGCCGCCCTTACTAAGCCCTTGGCTGTAATCGGTCATGTCCATGGTAGTCTTCACCACAAATTTACCGTGGAGGCTCGTGGGCTGAAGATACGCAGAATCCAGCTCCGGCCTCATCAACTCGGCGACAAAACCTCCCGAGGGAGACACGTCGCTGATGTCCGGGATGTTGTACAACATGCTGGACTCTTGTCCCTGAGGAGAGGGCATCGGATAGGTGTAGGACGCAGGGGATGGTGGAAGAGCTCTCGAGGCGCTGGCCATTGCGGCCTGTTGCTGCTGTTGCAGCATGCTGTTCGACAGGATAAAATCATAGTCCAACAGGTCCAGCTCTTCTGGCTCCCTCTTGGTCATTACGGAGGGGACGTCCTGGTCAGTGCAGGTCCCACCTGAAGACATGCAGGGGCGCTTCAGATGAGACATCTCCTTATTCCAAACAAACAGAGACATGCAGAAAGAGGGAACAAGACAAGGTAAGTCTCTCAAAGACAAGTTTTGTCAAGATCATTATCTAACATGCTGATTTCTTGTCTTCAACACCGGAATGATCATCCATATTTTATTCAGATTATTTCTAGACGCAACTTGGCCTCTGATGTTATGAATTATTAAAAGACACTTTCATGCCGCATTGTTTTTATGCTTCCAACTATGGTGCCTGAAAGAGAATCCACACTGCTAGATGCATTTTGTAATCAGTGCACGGTAAAAAACATTAGATATTTGATCGTGAACGGCTCTCACCATCGGAACGGAACGGTTCACGCCCCTGTCGCGGTAATGACATAATCTCACCAGCGGCGGAATTTCGCTAGTAAACGGATCGGTGACCATCACCTGTTTGATACTCACTAAACTGGTCATTCCAGGTCCCGTCATGGCCTTGTGCTTCACATCTGCATCGCTCGCAAAGGTGGAAATAGAGGGCAAAAGCGTGCCGCTCAGTGCCATGCTATCAAACTCACTCGGTGGCTGCCTGAAATCGAAAAAGCGTAGAAATAATCCTAGTCATCCAGGTCTGGGGAAACTATCGCTCCCAAACATGACCCATCAAAGCCAAACGAAAAAGTGATGGAGATCTCCAAAGTGCAGAACGCACCTCATGAGTGGGAAACACGCGTCCAGTCAAAAAACTAAATCCTTGATGAGAGTCCGTCCAAAGAGCGCATCAGACGCGTCCCCGTGCCATGCTGACAGAACCGGCCATTAAAACCAGCTTCGATTATGAACCGGGCTCGGTTTCGTCGCGGCGACACTCGGGGATTCCCTATCTCCCTCTCGCTGCTGTCATTCGGGACGCGCGAGCTCTCCGGTGTCTGGACTGGAGTGATTCGTCAGATGCGCGCAGGGCTTTCCTCGCCTAGTTCTTAAACCCCGGACACGCCTCTCGTTGCGCGGCAACCGCAGAAAAAAACACGTCGTGACGTCATAAAGGAGGGCGGGTTTAAAAAAAAATCTGGCAGCGGGCCGATATTTTGTATCCACACAAACATGTGCGTGTTAGCAACCGGGACCAACAGACTCCAGTAAGAAAATCATTGGTGAAAAGTCACGATTTGTTGATTTTCTCCTTTATCAAACACAAAGACGTAGTGGTGGTGGTCCGGTTATTGTGTGACACCTGTTCCTGGCGTGCGTGAGGAGTTCGAACACCGTGTTCACACACCGCAAACTGCTCCCACAGTCACGAGGCGTGTCTGCAATTAACGCTAATCATTTTTTATACCGTTACGCACAGGACAAAGGCAGCCAGAAATGTGTAGGATTTATTTGTGATGAAAAGCCTTGCCTCTTATTCAGTCAGTGTTCATCACCTGATCATGAGTAGATTCTCATATCACTGCAGTCTTTTGTTAGCTGTCAGCATTCTCACTTCTCACACGATTTGACTTATTTTAATAACTTTGCACTCTCAGTTTGCAATTTTTAGGTAATTGCAACAATTTATCTCAGAATTCATACATTATTTCTTGCAGTGCTGAGAAAAAAAAGTCAGAAATGCAAGATATAAACACAAAATTGTGAGGTATAAACCCAGAATTCTGACTCTTTTTTTTCTCACAATTCCATCTTAAAATTCTGACTCTTTTCTCAAAATTCTGAGCTAACATCTCGCATTTGTTTCTGCCCCAGAATAAAAAATAAAAAAGGTCATTGCAGCTTCTTACCTGACAATTCTGACTTTTGTTCTTGTGAGATGTTAACTCAGAACTGCAAGGGAAAAAATCTGAATTGTCACAATTACATTTACACAAAAACAGCCTCAAAGGATAGCAGACCCAGTGCCATTCTGATCTTTCAGTTCATGGAGTGTTCAGCTGTGTTTCTGTCGTTCCACTAACTCTTCTGTGTGTGTATTTCCAGTGTGTTTGTCTTTTGATTTTGCTGTTAAGCAATATTAACAGTTCAAGTTGGATCATTTTTCATGGCCCTTAATTTTGAATCAAGAAGCACCCAGTATAATTTCTTTTGAGTGTAAAAACACAGTTTTTGTGCTGTGATGAGCCATTAGGTTAGTGCTGTGTATTAAGAGGCAGCTTCTACATAAACTTGTTTCTGTCTCAGAGGATTTGCCTCCGCAGTGTCTACAATCATCTTTGTATGGTGAGCAAACACGAGCTCTGAGACCATCCTGTTACATCAGGATCTTGTTCGTTTGGCTCTGTCAACAGCAGGCCTTCATTTAGCTACAGAATACACTGAATGTTGCCCCTTTAACACACAGATGCACACACATTCTCACGCTCAAACGTCCAACAATACTTGTTCCTATATTATATTTCATGATGATGAATCTGTTGATTTCCTACTGTTTTACTGCACTTGATCTTGTAATGCATCCAGATTTTTTTTTTTTTTTTGTGAAAAAAAGAGTTACTCTGTTCTTTGTTTTTATGACAGAAAAACTATTTTGGGAAAGAGTAACGGGTGAGATGTTTAACAGGTGTGTGTTTTATCTAGTGCCATCAGATGCAGTGCTGATGTCATCTGTTGTTTATTGCAAAGCTATGATTTCGCTCTTGGATTCGGTATGTGAAAATATGTTGATTTTTCGAAGCACGACATAAGAAGGTGATGAAATAGCGTCTGAAGCGCTCTGCAAGGAAGGAAATAGAAATTAGCTGATGGCAGTGATGGTTATATTAGGACTTTTACACCTTTTTATGCAAATGCCGCACTTTCCGGGGTCTGTCAATAGCAGTGACAGTGGTTTGGAACATCATCATATGTTTGCATTTCAGGGCCAAAACTAATTTGTTGGCTTCTAGAGGTGTTTTCTTTCATTTCCTTGGCATAGTGTGTTCACTTTCTTTGATGACTTATGATTTATGATCAAAAAAGGATTGTCTTACTGCTCTGTACCTGTGGGAAAATCTTGACAGACTCTCTCTATCCAGGAATCAGAATGCAAATTTGATATTTAAATAAACAGGTGATCTCTCCTCTTTTGACGCTTTCAGAAAATTTGCATATGGTGGAGTGTAAAGATTCATTTCCAGGAGAGTGGGTTAAATTATCATCATTGAATGAACGGTTGCTATCAGAACAAAATACGTTTTACCCAAATACATCTGGATCAGTTCTATCCATTTATGCTCCAGATGAGGTCGATTTAGAAACATTATCCTTGAACGTCTGAACTCTTCATTCATCGTGCATCAGCTCTGTATTTGTTCTTTGTGGTGTCATCTGTCCTATGCTTTAATGTTAATTCTACACACTCATGCTTCTGGTCTTAAACGTAGGTTTTGTTCAGTGCTTACTGGGCAGTTTCTCTGTTTCTGATGGGATTGTTAACGCTTCTCTGTGGAAGCAGTCAGTTTAAGGTTTGGGAATATAAATATCTTTGTAGCCATAGGTCAGGTGTAATTCCATAGAAGCCATTGAACTGTACACACTCAAAGACTCAAACGGGTGAATACTTTGAGGGTTGGGAATGGTGCAATTTAATGGTAGATTAAAAGAAAGCCGCCAAGATAAACAGTGTTTAAGGAGAAACAGAACTAGGCGTCAGGGCCATTAGACAAGTTTCCATAAGTGCTTGGGCCTGACAGAAAAACTCAATAGACTGTGTGAGAGTGTGTGTGTGTGTGTGAGTGTGTGTGTGTGTGAGAGTGTGTGTGTACACTTATTTGAGATTCAGTAGAAGACCAAATGTCCCCACAAGGATCAAACAGAAATTGAATGCACGTCACACCTCTACCCAGCTAACAATTTTTGGTTCCCAGAACGTTCCCGGAACGTTAGTTTTTGGTTCCCAGAACGTTATTTTTTATGGTTTGTTTTTGGTTAGCCAGGAAAGTGTGTGTGTGCGTGTGTGGGTGTCTCTGTGTGTGTGTGAGAGAGAGCGTGCGCGTGTGAGTGTGATTGTATGTGTGATTGTGTGTGTGTGTGTGTGTGTGTGTGTGTAGAGCTGTTTTGTTGTTTTGATAAAAGTAAACAAGGTGCTTTTTTTTTTGATAAAATAAATTTTTTATAGTTGCATGTCCAGAATTTCTGCCTGTTCTCAGCATGAAGGAAGGGTGGGTTTTCAGTGTGTTTAAGCTGAGTTTAGACAGTTGCATCATCCCGTCCGATCTGCCAAATAAAGAGGGAAAAGTATTAGGAAGGAGCAGGCGCGAGCTCCTGTCGCGAGGCAGTCTGTGCCGCCTCTGAGCTTGAAGGGATTCCTCCTCGGCCTTAAATATGCTGGTTATTTTTAACCCAGCGTGTAAGAGCCACCCAGCGCCGCCCTCTCTGTAACAATGTTCCCCTTCAGCCAGCAGAGGAAATTGACAGGAGCCACGCTTCCTGATCACATGCCGCGGTGG